CGCGGCGAACGTGAGCGAGGGGTAAGCGCGGCCGCTGGTGGGCACGCTGGCGCAGGATGCAGCGAACGTGAACCCGCTGGTCGACGCGCACACTGCGGCCATCCAGGCGGTGGCGGACCGCATGGATCTCCTCGTCGACGTGCTCACCGCGCACCCTGACGGCTGCGCGCTGCTGGGCGATGCGGGCCGCCTCTCGCGCATTGCGCCACGTCAGCATGTGGAGCGCGACGGGTGGCAGCATTGGCAATGGCACACGAAGCTGGCGATGGAATTCGCATATGCTGGGCGACAGTGCCTGGCGATGCGGCCACGCCACGTGCTGCTGCTGCAGGACGACGCGTTCCCCACGCGTCTGTAGGACGTGGGCATCGAGCGCTTCATGGCGTGCGACTTGCGCAGCAAGGCGCAGCGGGACGTGTTGGCATTGTACGACTTGCGCTCGTACCGCTGGAACCTGCAGCACACGTAGGAGTATGACATCCCCTGCTGCGCGCAGTCCCTGCTCTTCTCCGCCCGCTCCGCCGGGGAGGCGGTGGCGCACGTGGAGTGCGGAGTGGCCCTGCTGCTGCACGAGTTCATGGGCACCGCGAGGGAGGGCGGGCGGCAGCGGCACGGGTACGTGCACGTGCCGTCGCTGTTCCAGCACACGGGGCGCGTGTGGTCCACGGGGCAGGGCCGCGAGAAGGCGTCGTTCCACGAGGACGTGCAGTGGCCCGACGACCAAGTCGTAGCACCATATCTCGCAGAGGAAAAGCTCGCGCTGCTGCATGTCAAGGCGGGCGGGCGGCACGCGGAGGGCGCGTACGGGCAGGTGGAGCCTGATGGGTGGCACGATTTCCTGGGGACGCAGCGGCGCGAGATGGCGGCGGGCGCGGGGGGGGGGGGGGAGGCGCCGCCCGTAGAGCGGGCGAGAGGGGGAGGAGATGGCGGTGATGCGGGGAAAGGCGAGGAGCAGTAGCGTGGGGGAAAGGCGTGGAGAGGGGAGGAGCAAGGCGGAGAGGGCGAGGGCGAACGGGCAAGCGAGGCAGGGAGGAGTCAGCGGCATATGGTGGCAGAGGGATGGGAGGCACAGGCGGAGAGGGCGGGGGAGGCGAGCTCGGAGGGGAGCGCGCAGGTGCTGCGATTGGCGCTGCGGCCGGGATTGAGCAAGGAGGTGTTCCGGAAGCACTTCTTGATGAAAGACCTCATGACGGAGCTGGGCGGAAAGACCTCATAACAAAGCTGGGTGCAAGGGATGGTGCAGGGGATGGCGGAGGGGATGCGCACTGCGCTGCGCTGAGGAAATGACCCCTGCTGACCTGGCAGGTGCGGCTGGGAAGGAAGGCCGTCTGGGCTGCATGTAATATAGATAGTACTAACCGACTGGTAAGTTGATATTCACTAGTGTTAGGCACTAACCCGTTGATGCTATAGGATGCTCCTTGTATTTCAATATACAGTACACTAATGAAACGGCCAAGCAGGCCTTGACTATGCCCAATATGCCGCATCACTAGCGAATTTGCTACCGTGTGGCCGCAGGGTGTGATGAATGGGACTGCCGAGTAGCGCGGAGGGCAATGGAGAATCTGTGAACGAGTGAATGCCAATAAAATGAAAGACAATACAATATATTGAAAGCCTAGGGTGATCCTGGACGTAGGATCTGAAGGTTCGGGAAAAGTATCGAAGGGCCTCGATGTGTCAAAGCGAGGTCCGGAAAGGCCCAGGAGGCTCGAACTGAAAGGTCTGGAACCCTGGCGTTGGTTCGGGACTGTTCGATTCGTACGCCCTGTAGCAAGCCTCAGTAAGAAATTACTCATTCCTTACACTCTCCCCCCTTCTAGATAAGCACACAAATAAATAGAACTACACACACTCTAACTGAATCTCGTAGTAGTGAAGCCACCACTGTTGAGAATCTTGAGCTTCTTCCAGAAAACTCCATCCAACGGTCGAAACGTGTCGAAACGATCGCCGTCGATCGTAGCCGTCGAATCTTGGTCGAATTACCCAGATAACCAAACGGGCAGTAGGGAAACTACCGCACCACAACTTCTTTGTCTTCAGCGAATCCTTCGCCGAGAATTACAAACCCTGCCATCGTGTACTGTATCCGCATAGTAACACTACGTTATTCACACTGCTGCAAGTTGACGAGCCGAATCTTCTGCATGCGCCAAACTTGTCCGTAGCTCCACAAATGTAGATCGCTCCTCGTTTAATTCCACGTGAGTCGTGACATTCGCAGCAAACACGCGTCCGTATTTCGTAAAGTCAACGAACTCCAGCAATTCGTCAACTGCGAGGTCATTCGCGACACATGCGAGAACATGCGTCCGTGTCTCACGAAAGTCAACGAATTCCATCATCACATGGACGAAAGCACCACCGGTCCAGTAATCGTAGATGATTCCCCTTCAGCCAGTTAATGTAAACACGCCTCCAACTTTCCCAAACTCTTGTGAAATTCCCGAAAGGCCAACTCGAATCTGTCCGTCGATTCAGTCGGTCAAATACCATCTGTCTGTCGATGCTCATGCAGTGGATGCCAATTGTCAAGGGAAAATCCAAAAAACAACTGCTGCGCAGCTGCTCTCTCCCCCCTCCATGAAAAGAAAATCTTCTGTCGTCGATGCCGAAAATACCCTGCATCAAGTTTCTTCAGACCCTGAAAAATGAAGTATCTTCAAACTCTGCTCGTCAGGACCAGTCTCTGCGCGACCCTATAACGCAGGGCAGCTGCGCCACGTAGACTCTAGCTCCATCCGACGCCGTAGTTAAATTTTCAGCTTCTCAACTGTCGTCGATCTGCTTCTTGTTGTTACCCTCTGTTGAATTTTTCGCAACTCCACCTGACCGGTTTGCCGTGCACACGTTCACCCATTGCGCGGCTACGGCAGGTACCCAAGAAAAACTCGGGTACAGTTCTCAGCTACGAAAAGCGCATTTTCTGCAGTTTCACCGACTAACCATGCTGGTATTTAAACCATCGCACAGCTCGGTAGGTACCTGTGACCCTAGCTACCGCTCAAGCGGGAAACTTGAAGAATTCCCACCCTGAAAATACCCAACGTTTAGCGACGCATCGACGTTCACCCATCATTGCGCCCGTCCAAGTAAATCCACGAATGAGTCTTCGCAGCCCAGTCTTCTATTATAGCCCCGCAACTCAGGAATAATCTGTGAAGACTCCCGCGTGACTCCAAATTTTCCGTTACGGCAACACGTTTTTCCCATTGCAACAGTAACCCTTGTCGTCCTGAAGCTCCATTTGATGAATACACTCCAGAGCAGGGGTGAATCCGCCGTGTGCCCGTACTCAGGTAAGCGCAAACGCTATCGTAGTTGGGCGAATTAATCAGTCTAATTCGCGGCCAACCGCTTTGCAGCTTACGTGAGGGATTCTCCTTCCCCTCCATGAAAAAATCGTCTCCGCAAAAAATCTGCTCCAACTGCTGCAAATTTCTTCAACTGCTGCTTCTAGAGTAAACCCCCGTAGGCCGCTGTTCACCCAGCGCCCACGTTCGTCGTTCTCCAAACAGTACCGCGCACGTTCATTCGGAAAGCTCGCAACTCCGTCGATTGCAGCGACACATCCTCGCTGTTCGTATCGGACTCGAGCTCCGCGTACCGTCCGACCTTCGTCGCAAAAAGCCTTCGCTATTTTCGTCAATCTACTTCACGCGCCTCTCACTGTACAGCGTCCGATTTTCACAAATCGTTCACCTGTCGTGTTGCGCCGAAAATGTTTCTTCATCGATCCACCAGCACAGGGTAATCCGCAAGCTCATCCTCCTTTTTTCATCCGGGAGTGGTCGATAGGATGTATCGTACGACCACCCGGTGGAGATGCTGAAAATCGGGCGACCCAGCCAAGTCAATCGGGGGGATCCGTTTGCCGCTGAAACCTTAAAATTCCATGGCTGTTCCCAGTCGTTCTCCTTCTCTGCTTCAGCTCTTCGTCGTTGACTTTTAGCGGTGACCCGGCGATGACACTTAAACTCGACCCGAGGGTAGTTGCTGGTCGTCCTCCGTGGATCGTGGGGCGTAATTTCTGACCACAAAAATGGCTTCCTCGGCGGGAATCCAGACTCGCCGAGCTCGAAACTCCAGGGCAGACGAATTACACCTCCAAGCGGGCAGGTCACGCGAAACAATTTCGAGGTCAGTACTTCCCGAAACTTTTCCGTGCCTGAGCCCCACGTGTGCTACCGTGCGATCCTTGGTCGTGCCGAAAACTCCAACGTCACGTTTGCTGAACAGCATCCGAAGTTCCGTCTTCACCTGCGTGTCGCCTGTCGGAAACGCCGAGCCCTTTGACATCAGCTACACTTCACCATGCAGCCACGCCTGCTATACGCGCTCCTGCCGAAATCCTCTTCGCCTGTCGTCTCGTGACGAGCTCCTCGCTCCATTTGGACACCAATCCGAATCATCGTTGCTGCTTGTCGAATTTTCCGAAACTGCAACCGAAGCCCCTTTAACGATATGCGAAATGAACAACATACTGGAAACACTTTTAAAAATATTCGTCATGTAAGGACAGACACAATTGCCCTCGAGGGGAGGGCTCTTCCCCCCCCCAAAAAAAAAAACGTTATGCCCTCGGAAGCCCAGCGGGTGAGGAAAGTGGCTCTGAATACCAAGTGTTATGAATGGGACTGCCGAGTAGCGCGGAGGGAAATGGAGACTGTGAACGAGTGAATGCCAATAAAATGAAAGACAATACAATATATAGAAGCCTAGGGTGATCCTGGACGTAGGATGTGAAGGTTCGGGAAAAGTATCGAAGGGCCTCGATGTGTCGAAGCGAGCTCCGGAAAGGCCCAGGAGGCTCGAACTGAAAGGTCTGGAACCCTGGCGATGGTTGGGGACTGTTCGACTCGTACGCTCTGTAGCAAGCCTCAGTAAGGAATTACTTATTCCTTACACAGGGGAAAAGGGTGTTATGCGCACAAAACATGAGAGAGCAACCAGTTGCAGGTGAGCATTTCGCGGCAGCACCCAGTTGCGAAAGGATCGGTAGCGTCTGAGAGAATTGCTAGGTCGCAAGGCACAAGTGCTTTGGCGGTTGGGAGATGAAGTCGCTAGGCCGGGCTGGCGGCTAGGAGAGGAGGCGGTACGAGAATAACTCGCCGCGCGACGAGGTCGTTATCGCAAGAGAGTGAACGGGGAGAGCTCAGATGCGAGACTTGGCTCAGATGAGTCGGGCTCGCCCTGCGCACGGCAGCATATTTCCATCTCCAAACTCCCTCTCCAACCCTAGAAAGCGCCGCCTGCACGGGCTGGTCTGCGAGCGCCCATCTCGCCGCGCCGCAATGCTCTCTGCACCCGCGCGTGCTGCCCACCTCCATGCATCCGCGCCGTCCCTTTCCTCGTCGACTTCGAGGCCTTGACTCGCGGCTCGCGAGTGCTGTCGTGTCGAGCGCTCTCGCGGCGGGAGTGCGAGCGAGTCGATTTCAGTGGTAGAGGCGCGAGGCTCCAGTCGCGAGCAGACGCGCGTTTGCCGCGGGAGGTTAGGCGATTCGCCGAGCTGCGCGCGTCAGTCTGGCGATTGCGTCGTCCCGTCGCCGCGACTCCCCCATTCGTCGCCGCCATGGCTCGTCGCACGTCGCGATCGCCCGCTGGCGACGGCGGCAGTCGCAGGGCGCGGCTGTACCTCGTGGCGGCCGCCGCGCTGCTCGCCATGGTAGGCCGCCTGCTCGCCATGGTAGGCCCGTCACACGTCAGCGTCCGCGTGTCACACATGCTGCCGCTGCACTCGCGCGCGCCTGCATCCATTCTCCCCCATCCCCTTTCCGCTATCCTCTCAACTCCTCCTCCAGGCTTCCCTTCCTCATGCCCGCTCACCCGCGTTTCCTTCTTTCCGCCGAGTGATCCGACTCGCATCCTTCAGTTTCCTGTCTACTCTACTCCCACCATACTCTCTTCTCCCCCGCCTTTCCCCCCTCTCCAACATAGTCCATCTCCATTGCTCTGACCTGCACTCCCGCACCCTTCTCACCTCCCATTTCCACATCCTTTTAGCTTAAACCCCCCCACTCTCTCCTCTGCTCTCCCCTGTCTGGCATCTTCGCTATCCCACTGCCTCCCCCTCCCCGCCGCTCACTGCACTCCCCTCCTCGCCCGCCCCCAGGCCGTGGTCACCCACCTGAGGACCCGCGCCCTGCACTGCCACGAGCCGCTGCTGCCACGGCAGCTGCTGGCGGAAGGGGAAGGCGCCACTCTTCCCTCCACCACAGACACTCCACCCGCCGCCGCTGCCACAGAGAGCCAAGGCGAGGGGGCAGAGCGAGCACCAGTGTCTGTGCAGGCAGGAGGGCAGGCTGAGGGGGCAGGCAGGGCGGGGCAGCACGGCATGCACCACCGTGGCTCTGCGGCGGCCCACCCTCTGCCTAAGCCTGGGCCGGAGCCTCGCGGTGCCCCTTCTGACCTGCCCGCCCTGCGTGCGTGGCTGGCTGCGTCGCGCTCTCCCCATGTCTGCTGGAGCCGAGAGGAAATGCACGCTTACATGCCGGTGGGGCGCGGGAGCTGCATGGCCTGGCGTGACACTGCCGTGTGCCGCTCCTTCCAAGCACCCACTACACTGCACCAACGCTATCACCAGCACTCACATGCTCATGCCTAGGGTTTGGGGAAATCTTCAGGAATGCACGTTTGCTCTCACCAAAGGGCTGGCTTCGTCATTCATAAGCGGCCATCTGCCTGCCCAGGTCAACCCTTCTCACCCCTCTCTCCTTCACCCCTGCCCCTCCGTCTCCTCCCCCCCCCCCACCCCACCGCAGCCGTCTCACTCTGCCCGCCCCTCGCGTGCCTTCGCCCGCCGTCTGCGCGTCTACGAAGCCATGCACCGCCGCTGCGCCGCCCGACTCTCCTTCCGCCACGGCCTGCCGCCCGCTGATTCCTTCAGGTGGATTCAGATAGCTTCAGGTGGGTTCAGGTAGTTTCAGGTGGGTTCAGGTAGCTTCAGGTGGGCTGGCAGACTGCAGCCGCACACTGAGCAGCTGGCGCTGCTCTTTCACCCACACCCTCTGGCCCTGAGCTCTCCCCCCTTGCTCCCTGCCTGCTTGCCCGTGCCTGCCAGGTCGGTGCTTCAAGGCAATGGCAGCGAGGGCCATGCGCCCTGCCAGTACCTCTTCTACCAGGACTCCATCGCAGGCAGGTGCCAGTGCGAGCCACACGTGCCTGATAATGGAAAGAGGTGCCCCTGATTTGATCCGTGAGGAGTAGTCACGCCTGTGCTGCCACCGCCTCTCATCTCCCCTTGTGCCCTCTTCACTCTCCCATCGTCCAACCGCCCATCCCATTTCCTTCCACAGCCTTTCCCCTCTCCCTGCCCTCTGGCCACAGCTTCCTCTCTTGGCGCTCCCCTCCCCTCCCCTCCCCTCCCCTCTCTTCCCCCCCTCCCAGGAGTGGGCAACCGCATTCTGGCGGTGGTGTCGGCCTTCACCCTGGCGCTGCTGACCAGCCGCACCTTGCTGCTCTCCTCCGACTCCCTCCCCGCCACGGCCTTCTGCCAGCCCTTCAACGCCTCCTCATGGTCCCTTCCTGCCGCCCACTTCGAGTGAGCCCCTTTTCACTCTCCTTAGAGAGGCCAATGCTCCACGGTTTGACCATGAAGAAACGCAATCCAAATGTGCCGCCTGCAGGAGCTTGGCACGGCGGAAGGAGCCCTCCCTTTCCCTCTCTGTTCACTGCCTCGTTGCCCTTCCCGCTCCGTCTCTCCCTCTCTCACCTCTGTTTGACCGGTGCTCCCTCCTCAAGGTAAAAAAATATGGTTTTCGAAAAATACGGTATGTATAATTCGACCGATTTTGTCGTTTTTTAAATAGAGCATCTCAAAAGGTTAATTTTTATTTTTTGGTAGACAGCCTAATCATCCGCTAGATCCGCGCCTTTCGTCCGCCCAAATGTGAGATCCGCGCATTTCGACGGGCGAAATGCTAGATCTGCGTATTTCAGCTGACGAAACGTCAGATCCCTGCATTTTGTCTACCAAAAACGCAAGATCTGGCACATTTTGGCGGGCAAAATGCCAGATCCGTGCATTTCAGCGGGCGGAATGCTAGATCCCCGCATTGTTTCAGATTGTTTTGCACATTTTGTGAAAAAATCGGCCGGTTTTTTTAACCAACCTATTTTTGCACAATTTTCACCGTTTTTTCGTATTAAACGGCCGTGTAATTCGATACCGTTTTATATGGGGAATTTTTGAAAACAAACGGCGTATTTTTTAACCTTGCTCCTCATACGTGCCTTTGCTCATGCGCGCGATCATGCCATGCATGCACCCATGCATGCACATGGGTGCCCTCTGGCAGAGCCATAGTGAGGGACGTGGCTGCCGACGCCAAGCCCAACGAGTTCCCCCCCTCCAACCGCTCCCTGCACCTCGACTTCCCGTGAGCATCTGCACCACCCGTACCATTGATACTCGTACCGTGCATGCAGGCTACCATCGATACCCGTACCGTGCATGTAGGCTACCATCGATACCCGTACCGTGCATGTAGGTAGGGCTACTATCGATACCCGTACCGTGCATGTAGGCTACCATTGATACCCGTACCGTGCATGCAGGCTACCATCGATACCCGTACCGTGCATGTAGGCTACCATTGATACCCGTACCGTGCATGTAGGCTACCATCGATACCCGTACCGTGCATGTAGGCTACCATCGATACCCGTACCGTGCATGTAGGCTACCATCGATACCCGTACCGTGCATGCAGGCTACCATTGATACCCGTACCGTGCATGCAGGCTACCATCGATACCCGTACCGTGCATGTAGGCTACCATCGATACCCGTACCGTGCATGTAGGCTACCATTGATACCCGTACCGTGCATGTAGGCTACCATCGATACCCGTACCGTGCATGTAGGCTACCATCGATACCCGTACCGTGCATGTAGGCTACCATCGATACCCATACCGTGCATGCAGGCTACCATCGATACCCGTACCGTGCATGTAGGCTACCATCGATACCCGTACCGTGCATGTAGGCTACCATCGATACCTGTACCATCAAGTATGCTATGGCCCACGCATCATGCCAATGCTCCAATAATTCCGCATCATACCCAAACCCACAGTACCCCTCCCCACCACCTCACCACCACCGTGCCCACGGTTCCTCCCCTCACCGCACTGCATGGGTGACAGGAGCGGGTTCTGGTGGAACATGGTGTGCGACGAGGGGCAGCGCCGCCTGGCACGCACGCCCTTCGTGCTCTTCACCTCCTACTTCTACACGCTCCCCGCTCTCTACTTCCGCCCCGCCTTCCAAGTAATGCCGCCCTTCCTTCCAAGTCGCCTCACCTCCCACTTGTTATGATTGCCCCGCTGTCGCACCATTCATTGCGTTTTCAAGTTGTTGCATCATGATCCCATCCCTTGCCGTTCTTGTCCGTAGTTGCTTGCTGCTGCAATGCACATCCCCCCCCTACTAGCGCCCACTCGCCCTCCTCATCTGGCTCTGCTCCACTGTCTCCTCCGCGCTGCCATTCACAACCGTGCCCCGCCCATCCCACACCTGCCCGCTGCCACCAGGCCACCCTGGACCGCTGGTTCCCGGATCGGCTGCCGTTCACGCGTGTGGCGCGGTGGCTGCTGCACCCCGCCAACTTCCTGTGGGTGGCCGTATCGCAGGCCTTCACCGCGTACCTCGCCCCGCACCGCACGCGCATCGCACTGCAGGTCAGCCCGCCATTCTCCTCCATGCCTTGAAGGGCCTCACACTGCGCCTCTCCCGTCCTGCGCCTCTCCAGTCCTGCTCATGCATGCAGCTCACGGTGATTGCCTTTGACCCAACTTCCCACCTCTGCCTCGCACCATGCTTGCACATCCCACACATCCCACATGCACTCCCTGCTCCCCCGGCAACCCTTCATCCTCCTTCACAACGGCGCCTCCCGTGCCGGTGTGCGCCATGTCTCTTCCGCCCTGCCATCCTTCCCCTCAGCCCCCCCCTCCGCCCCCCATGCACATGCGTGTCCGATCCGGCCCGTGGTGGAGACGGAGGAGGGCGTCCTGCCCTGCAGGTCACCCGAGCTCCCTTTGCGGCGCGCACCACCTCACACTGCTGCCCCCCCTGCCTGCAGATCCGCCCCGTGGAGCAGACGGAGGAGGACATCCTGCCTCGCATCCTCACATGCGCCCAAACCATCGCCCACCTGCTGCCACCTGTGGGGCTGGACGACTACGAGGGCGATGCCATGGTGGGTTGACTACGAGGGCGATGCCATGGTGGGTTGACTACAAGGGCGATGCCATGGTGGGTTGACTACAAGGGCGATGCCATGGTGGGTTGACTACAAGGGCGATGCCATGGTGGGTTGACTACAAGGGCGATGCCATGTGGGTTGATGC